TGCTGGGTAGCCTGTGAAGGAAGGGAAAAAAGTGTTAAAAACACAAAAATGGAAAACAAGAGTGAAGGGATCAAAACAGGAATAAACTCACCACCAGGGAATTCTGGATCATGGAGCGGAACAACACGTTGGTTGATCGCCCCCTATGAGCCTCCATGTCGGCCTCGAAATGCAGTGTCTCACTCACTGCATTAGCGACATGAGGATCCGACAGAATAGAATCATCGACCCTGATCACTCTGTTCATGTGATCAGTGGCTCGAGGATTCCACTCTGCGGCCTCCCCCCGAGACGGAACGGGAGGAGGGGTCTGCTGCTGCTGCTGCGGCTGCTGCTGCTGCTGCTGTTGCTGTTGTCGGGGCTGCTGTTGTTGTTGCTGTTGTGGGGGAGCAGGCGGTAACCCACGATCCCTCCCGCTTTGAGGTTGAGCGGGAGATGCCCTGGGTCCCCGGCTGAGGCCGTCATGCCGATGCTTTACCCTCCTCTCTTCTTCCACCTGAGGATCCCGGTCTCGCACCTGACCCTGACCGGGAGCCCTCGAGGAATTGGCGGAACTGGTTCCTGCCGGAGTACCGCCGGTCGTCCCTCGGCCTCTCCCGGCTGCGAGGGATTGCCTCTGCCTAAGAAACCCCAAATTGATGCGTGGGGTGTTGGACATCGCTTCCTCGAGAGCGTCTTCGGCGTCCAAAGATTGGAGAACTTGAAAATCTGGCCACAGGTCGCCTCCCGAAGTCCCCACCTCGGCGTCCGAAGGAGCAACGTCCTCTCTGACCCCGACCTCAGCGACTCCTTCTACCTCTCTCTCTGAAGCCCGATCCGGGTCTTCCTCCAAGTTCTGCTCGACCTCTAACCTCGCCGCCTGATCAAAGAGCTCTGACCACTGTGAAGGCTCGAAAGGTTGAGGGAGCTGTGAGAACTTCTTATACCCGGGGGTATAGTGCAGCAAATTATGGGCAGCTCGGCCAAATCCGTCGGCGCCCGTGAAACTCCAAACCGTTATTAAGTCGGCAAAATTGACCAGCGACCGAGGGGGTGGAGCTGTTTCCCGAGAAGGAATACCTGCACAACAAAAAAGATTGTCATAAACATGAGAAGTCCCAAGAAACAAATAAAAAGACCCAAAGGAACCGACGTACTTGTCGTTCTCCATTCCCGAGGGCAAAATAGGTCGTTGTACTCGGGACCGACACCCCTCTCCCAACATCCCTTGAAGATCAAGATGTCGTCCTTGTACCCCTTGTCCGAGTCAGGAAGATGGGTTACAAGGTACATAGAGGGGTCCCTGGCTTTGAGGTAGAAATGTTGGTGGGGCATGACTCTTAGGAGGGAGTAACAGAAAAGAAGATCATTGAGCCCAATATTCACCCCGAGGCGTCTATTGAGCTCTAGGACCCCCATAATTATCCGAAAGACGTTGAGGCAGCATTGCCCGGGGAAGAGACGGAAGCGAGACAGGAACTGAAGAAGCAGGGGGGGTAAAGGAAACCTAATGCCACCCTCTATGATGGCCTTGGTATAGAAAGGCATGGCATCCGCGGCCCCGAAGGTAGGAGAGTTCAACAAAGGGTTAAAGCCCACTACGTCCACGCTCGGGGGGATGCCATACTTCGCCCTGAACCTATCAATCTGTGCCTCGCCTGTCACCTTGTATTTCCCTGACCCCGAGGGACCAGCCGATGGATTCTCGGGAACAGGGCGACGACGAGGCATCTCTAAAAGAAAGGGAAGAAAAAGGTGCTCTCTCTTGAAAACCCGAGGAAGTTCCCCGAGGGTTTAAATCGAGACGTACCGACCGGATGACACCACCGTTCAAATCGGAAAACAAGAAGGCCAGGAGGACGATAAAGAAGAAGGTTGTGAAACTCACCAGAAGACGTCGGAAACGGAGTTTTTCAGGAAAAAACTTTGAAAACGACTCGCACCGGAAGGACCAGGAGTCAACAATGGGTTTACTGACTGTGATTTTAAGAGAAGATGCTGTCGATGATGGCTGAGGAAACAGAAACTCCGGCGAAGCAGATCAGAAAAGGCGTATTCTGGGTCAGAGATCGGAGTGGCAAAACAATGGAAATCGGAGAAAAACCCCCTTTATATAGGGGGGAAACTGTCATCATTGGGCGGGAGAACCAAAACGGCGCATTTAATGCGCACGACATCCCAAGACGGGAAAAGCTGCTCGAGGCCATAATGAAGGACGGATGGCAGTTGGAAAACCCTTCGTCTCCTGACAACGCGTGTCCTCGGCGTCAGAAGATCGAAGGCTGGGGGGCAGTTGATGGGACTCTTCTGAAAAAGCCTATGATGAAGACACGCGTCCTCGGGGGGGTTCTAGGACAATGTTGCTCGGGTTCAAGCACCATCGGCAAAAGCGTCCTCTCCCCCGAGGTACCTCTCATACAGGATCACATATTCGGTACATTATACAATGACATGTGTCCTCGGTCACCATGTACCTCGGGAACACACCACCCCTTGGTCCCCCGAGGTGAGCCTTTCCTCGGCGCCGAGGGTCACTCCATCCTGGACGCTTCCTCTACTCCCGGATAAAGTTACTGACGTACGGGACATCAGCCTATGCCAGTCTAGACTATTCATCATGACCCCGTCTTACACAAGTAATGTCAGAACATGCTGGAATACAGAAGTCATAGCCAATACGTGACGGACGCGTGGCATATGATATCACATCAAAAACAGGCAAACCGCACGCTGTTGCTGACATGCGCTTTGGGAAGCAAACAATTAATTGCGCCCTTCTGTTGACGAGACCGCATTCAATGCGGTAAGGTCCGGATATGAAAGGCAATAAATGCTCCTATTACGGAGCATTTATTACATCCTTCCCGAAAGGAGCATATTGTACCGTCGGCGTCCCGACGACTCAACATTGATTGCTCGGGACCCCGAGCAGTCAATTAGAGAAGACATTCCTCATCAAATCAATACACACGCTACCAGTGCCTGATGATCACCTACTGACCACACTGACAGCAATCATGAGCTTCTAAGGTATAAATACCCCTCCCAAAAAGGCAAACGGGTATGCAATCACAAACTCTCTACTACGAAATATCCTTTCTCAGTGTTTTCTCCTTCCTCTTTCTCATTCAAAGACTGACAAGATCGTCGGAGGGGATACGCCGGAAAACACTCCGGCGCCCTTCTAACTTGTTCTCTTTTGCCCCAGGAAATACCTTTCGCACGTACCGGATCGTTCCTCCTTCCCCAGGATCGTAAGCTGTTTCGCGCAGTGTGTTTGGCCACTCAATCGGCTCGCCCAAAGTTCACCAGGGGAGAGATCTGTTCCCAATATTTTATATATATCGTGCAGGATCAAGCCCGCACAATCACCTTAGTAAAACATCAGATTTCACTATGACATATCAGCAAAATATCAGGAAAAAAGAAAAGTCATCCTTAACCTTACACGTTTAATATGTTTTAGACAACATGAAGAATGATAAGCTAAAATATCAGAGCTTCAAGCCAGCAAGTAACTAACATGTCACAAGCTAGTAATGGAAAAAATTGACACCAAAAGAAGAATTTTTCTTACATCACCACGTTCGTGGTGAATATTGGAAAGAAAGGATGCATAGCTGTATAGAATGAGTAAGAAGGATGAAAATATCAAGCCGATGAATTAAGTACACCAAGTTAAGAATGAAAGAAACATAATTAATGCTCAAATACAACACTCCACATTTAACCATATCTATCTTGGCCTAACTCAGGCTAACAGATGGTGGCAGTAACATATCTCAAATGATAAATAGCCTATATAATTGCTAAATATTCGGTCTTTAATCTAAATTATAACTAATCACAAACAATTAAATGGAAATTTTTTAAAGTAAGTTTTTTTTTTCAATTGCAACAATCAAATCCTCCAAGTTTTCCATGTTTTTCAATCAAGTTCTTCCACTCAATTTGGATAAAATTTTGTTACAGAAAGCCTTCACAGGGCCCACACATGACTGAGCCATGGGCTAGTTTAGATCAAAAACACCAAAATTCTTCCAGCTTAGTTTGCCAAACAAACCTAAATGTGTTCCAAGACAAAACAAAAACCATGGTGTCAAACATTCCTAAACTTGTTGCCAAACAATCCCCACGACCCCATGACTCCCGACACTCTTTCCCCAATTAGGACCCCCTCCCCCACCCAAAACCCTTCAATCTCCCATAACCAACTCCCACAACCAAGCTAGAGCCCTTCAAATGACAGTTAGTCGGTTCACTTGAAACAGAGTCAAGGGCACCAGACACATTTATTAACAAAAACAGGTCTCACAGGAACAAAAACAGGTCCCACAAGAGGCCAAGAAGTCCTTACCATGGCCAAGTCTTTGGATTCACCATTGCCAAAGGTAAGCATTGTTCCATACCTAAAAATCAGAGATGGTCATGGTTCCTGGTATTGAATTCACTCATTTTTCTGTAGTAGGGATCATAATTTTCACAAAGAGAGTGTGTTGTGGCGGTGTGTTCTTGAAGGGTTCTTGATAGAGTGATCATAGGGAGGAGGGGTGAATTGAAGGTAGCATCTAAATTAGAAATTTTTTTACATAGTTTAGGCTTTTGGGTTAGGGAGGTTTATGGTGACTGGAGAAGGCAGTGGTAGTGGTGGATGATCTGCATGGTGGTCAAATGTATTTCAGAGACAAAAATTGGCGGTGGGTTGGCCCACTGGATTGGGGCTCAATATGTTGACTCACTGATACTTTATAATCATTTCCCATTTTATTTTGTAATATTCAAAATAACACAATATTATAAAAAAATATTACAAAATATCATATAACCCTTGATTTCAAGCCACATAAATCTCTTGGTTGTACCTTCTTACATCTTTAAGTTTTTTTTTTTCGGCTCAGACTGACATATTAAGGTTAAGGATTAACCATAAGATTAAGGATCTCTAGAATAAGATTAAGGTCTCTAGGTTCACTTAAAAACAATAAAATCAAGAAAGTGACCATGAACATTTGACCACCGAATCAAGAGGAAGCAGAAAGCGGAAGTACCTGTAGCGTGTACCCAGAGAAAACTCCCGGAAACTGTTCCGTCATATTTTCCATGGTTGCAAGAAATGCCACTAGCTAAATGAAGCCAGTGAAGTAAGGTTTTACTAAAACATCAAGTACAAAATAATAGCATCACAGAGATAATGCAACCAATATACAGGTACTAAGCTTTGATAACCTGTTTTCCCATTTGGGGAGAGATCACGGCATAAATCTTTGAGCTTTCCACTGTCTTATAAAGCCGATTTCTATCTCCACCAGTAGTTCCCATTACAAAAGGAACGCCAATTTTGCAATATAATTCAACATTATCTGTGTATATAGTATGGCAACAAAAACTTCAATACATAGATTCTAAGTAGCTTAGTGGAATGCAGAACTCAGTTTTCAAGTTCACAAGAAGATTTTCAAATTGGCTTAAGTGCAAACTATTCAACAGTATCATCACCCAATCAGTCCCCACTAAGAAGTCTATGTAAATGGTGGGATATATTAGGGGAAAATTTGCTTTCTATTTGCAAATCCAACAACTACAATTTGAATACCTTAGAGCAATTATAAAGTCCATTATTTTTTATTAAGCTAAAATCTACATTGTAAGGACACCTCGAGGTTAGAGATCTCTAAGAAAGAAATATTGCAGAACAAAAAATGAAGAATCCACAAAGTAACACGCCAATATATCATGTAGATATCAAAGGGGTAAATATGTCATTCGTGGAAAAAAACTAGCACCTTCCTTTGCCTGTAACAAGTAAAGTTCTGCATTGTCTTTTGCACTATGTTCCTACTAAAATATGCAGTTAGTCTCAATCCCACACAATCTGAAAGGTAAGGTACAAGGACATTTGTAACAGTAAACATATGTGCATCATTAAAAAAGTAATGGGTAATTTTCTCACTTCACAATTGTATAGAAACAGTAATGTTCGCATAAAATCATGGTAAATACTACATACTGAATAATACATAAGAATTATTGCGTAAGTATACTATTTGAAAGGCAACAAAATATCTATCTTTATATTGGAGATAATCCATAGATTTCCAACATATGTACATTAGGCTCTCAATTTATATTCCGATTGAACTATTAAGTATTGAACATTACAAAAAAAAAAAAATTTATACAAGGTAAGACGAAAATAGCTTCTGAAATTCAGTTTTTTCTTCTTGGATTCAGATAGAGAAATCTGGACAACTTGAGGCAAATAATCAAAGCATGACAGCATATTAATCCTCATGACCTATCCTGTCAATTTCCATAACGTGTATTTTTTTCCTTTTGGATAACAAACCAAATTTATCAATACAAGAAAGGTGAAAGAAATGGTGGTGCATAAGTAATTCAAGCAAGTACAAAAGGGTGGAACCAAAAAGTACAAGAAAAACCAAACAACATTTCATATTTACAAGATTATGGAACTTTTCCACATCGCCACCAGTCCACCCATCCCTCAGATCAGATTGTGTAATGCCCCCCTTTTTTTTAGTGTAGCAATTTCTTAGTTGATAAATAGCTTAAAGCAAGTCAAATGACAACAACAGTGCTTCTCTTCTAAATATTCAAGATATTTCTTCTTGCTTTTGACCATAATTTATTTGAGATCTAAATTTCATTACCCTTTTCTCCAGAAGTTTGACAGATGTTTACCATTGACTGCAGCAGGCACTGTGTAATCCACCACAATCAAATTTGGATAATCATTTAAGATAGATGCTAGAATGCGTTCTCTTTCATAGGGACCATACATTTGAATATCTTTTCCACCCACTTGCACAGTTTTTCCAGCATTTTTTAGACCACCAAATGATACTGGAACAATATGAATTCCTGCAGAGACAGCTGCTTCAAGTACCGCCTTGCCCATTTTGCCAGTACAACCATTTACCTGCAAGAGATTATAAAAATAAAAAAAAGCACGCCTACATCAACGAAGCCAAGTTACGCAATATCTAGTCTACTTACAAAATACATTCCAAATATATTACATTCCATTTTTCGTTGAAAAAACTGATTTGTGTTGAAAGCACCCCATAAAAAATTGAGAAAAACACGGTTACTAACCTTAATTAGTGCATGCAATAAGTTCAATTTAAAGATGCAATAAAATTGCATAAATTTTATCATCAACTTCATTCATTTTTCAGTCACCGAAAACTTCATTCCTTTCTTTTTTGATTGTAAACCAATGAGTGTAAAATAAAAATGATATTAAGGCATGCCAAAAGTGAAGGCAACTATCTAGGTCACCACCAACGCTGGGGTTCGAAAACATGGGGAGCGAACAAGATTTGATTGGAAGCACATCAATGCGTTAGGCTATCACAGATTTCAAACTAATCCTGAAACTTTAGGCAGTAACCACGTAAGTTTGAACAGTGAATCCTCAGAAATATGACCTATATTATATATGTGGTTCCCTGGTTTGTCTTTGTTTTGTAGATTTCTAAGATTTATGTAGGTTAATTGCTTTGTGATATTGTAGTACCTCGTTTCTGCTACTCTGACTGTTATTTGGATTTTGTTGACTACACAGTTTTTGTATAGATCTTATGCAATGCATGTCAGTTAGATGTTCCATTTAATGGTGATCCAGTCTTCATATCTGTTTTTCTTTTTTCACAATTTTTAGGCGATTTTTTTTTTCAATTCATCTATTGAATCTTATATTTTTTAGTTTCGAGTTGTTGAAAAATCGTAGAGATAATGGACATTTAGGAGACTAAATTTCTCACAAATTTCAAACCGAAGTAAAAAATAACTATTTTCGATCTAATGGTTAATTTTGGACAGTGAACAAGAAGTTTCTTCTTGATGTGTGAATTAAAATTCTTAAATATTTTTTCAATTTTTTGAGTTCATTGTTTTCAATATATGTTTCTCAATTCAAATGAAATGTCTTAACTAAGTTATTAAAATCTAATCAAATTTATTACTTAAGCACAGTTTATTTGTGTTCACTATCTTTAATTTCACTATTTTTTAGTGTGCGTGTGGGATGACGAAAGAGAGATGAGAGAAAAAAGAATTTAAGAATGAAAGAAGATTTTGAGGTGGCATTTGGGATGAATTATAAAACTCAAAAAAAGCTTCTCTATGTCTCAAATTTTAATATATATCCAAAACATATATTATAGAAAAAAAATGGTCATGGTGATGTTGGATGGCAATGGAGTTGGCGGTGGCGAGTAATGATAATGGTGGTGGTCTTGGTTGTGGGTGGTTGCCATGGGTTTTGGATGGTGGTGAAGGGTGTAGATGATGGGTAATGGGTGGTGACAGTGGTTGTGGGTGGTGGCGATGGGTGGTGGTGGTATAAAATAGTCCTGCTCAATGAAACCAAACTTTTTTGTTAAAAAGTCTAGACAAGGACTTTTTAAGTCATTAAGTCCAACTTAGCCCATCTTTGTTGTCTTGTAGTTCAAACTAGTATTTCTCTTTTTGTATTACAATATTACTTCTACTCTATAAATTTCACAAAATTCAAATGGGACCTTCAACGTTACAAAATCGAACTTCTAAGATCATCCAGAACTCCACATATTAAACAATTGATTCAAAAAGTTAACAACATAGACGCACACAAATCTCCTAGTTCAAAAGACAGTGAACTACAAAACTAGTGAACTAAAGACACTCTCTACCTCTATCTTTCACTATCCTGAGTGTGCCTTTAGTCTTTCACGTCACCTGCCAGTGCCAAGTCCACCACCACCCTCTATCTTTCACACCCCCAAACAAGATTTCACTCTTTAGTTCACTATTTGTAGGGGCAACGATGGTGGTGGTGGATGGAGGCGCCAGTAGTGGTGGTGGTGGTGGTTGGGGTAGGTTTTAGGTGGTTGTGGTGCATGGCAACGATGACGGCGATGGTTGTGCAGTGGTGGTGGTGGGTGGTGATGAGTGGTAGTAGTGGTGGTGGTGGCTAGTGGTGGGCAGTGGTGATGGTGGTGGTGTTGATTAAAGTGATAATAAATATAAAAATAAGATAACGGTCGAGATTTTTTAATAAACTACTTCATTAAGGATATTTTGGTTAAGAGTTGATTTTAAGGTTGAACTTGAACCTAAAGCCAAAAAACATCCATGAATATGTTCCTATTCTGAAATCTCCCAAAATTAAAAGCTGATAAATCTTTAACACCATTATACGAATGTACGATAGCAGAGAATGATAGTTTAAGTCTCAAGTACCATGATGGAGAGTGCTACAATATTTTGGGACCCAACTAAATAATTCATCTTCTGGTTAGCTGCAGGTGACACCTGGACCAAACCTTTGCACTTTCTAAAAGGAATTGTAATAGTCGATGGTCCTCTGCTCCTATAGAATGCTTGAGAGTTCTCTTGACTTCCAAAGACATTGACTGAAACTCTACGACCATACATCATTGCTCTTACCTAATAGTTTGAAAGGATCACATGTTCAAACATCGCAAAAAATACAAAACTCCAAAATCCACATGATAAGAAAATAAACAATTACAAAATCTAAATGTCATGCCATAGTCATGAAACCCAGAAAATAAATCCCAAAGTATGATAACCAAAGCTAACTAAAATCTGCTCCAGCTTCAAACTAGCCCAAAACCTCCCTTTTCAATCAACTAAAAATAAACTCAAAAAGATTCCACTACACAATTTGTATATTAATCCAAAATCCTCAATCTACTTAAAACAAAACTCAACAAACCAAAATAACAGCATACACAATACTAAAAATTTAAAAAAAAAACATAGTAACAAAAAACACCACTAATCAAAACAAATCAAACCTGAAACTTAGATGGCATGGCAAGTTGTGACAGCAAACTGTCTTCTATTACATCTATTTGCTTCATTATCACCAAACGCTTTAAAAAAACCATGTCATCTAATGAAAGTGTTCTTATATTTCAATTCCAATTTATCTAAAACCAAAATGTTTCACTTCACTAGGTTGGTCACAAATTCAAGTCAAATTAATAATCTAGAAAAAAAATTAGTATAAAAAAGGTAGAAAAGGAACAACAAATAACGTAATCTATAATATAAAAAAGGGTTGAAGTCCGACAGTCTCAAATAAACTCATCGTCAACCAACATCCACTCAAAACTATTCACATTGCGCCAGGGGCGGAGCCAGACTTCAACTCTAATGGGGGCAACTTTCAATATATGAATGCTCAAACTCGGAGTGTTAATACTATTTTACAAAAGTATAGTTTCATCGAAATGACATATACAAGTAATATACAAAAAGAGTTCACAAAAAAAGTCCACTATAAAATTGTACCAAAAAAATACTTTTGTATCAAAAAAATAGTGTCCAATAATGAATTGATTCAACACATGAAAAAATCCAAATTCTTGAAAATCTTCATAATCGTTTCAACAAGTTTTCACAAATGATATTTGAAAATTCTTTCTCAACATATGTAGCCAAGTAATCATTCATCTATTGATCTCTCGACTTTTTACTATGTACCTTATTGAGAAGTATTTATCAAAAATAATTTATTATTCAATCCCAATCAATCAAAATAGTTTAGGAAATCAAACAATTTTTAACATAAATACAAGTCTAGTAAATCAAACTTAGACATATAAACATCATAATTTCTCACAATCAGATTCCTCAAGCCCATCGAACCAAATGGTTTAATCCAAAAAATAGTCCACAACATGTGAATTCTAAATATAACAATGTCATTAAATTTAACAACTTGCAATTCTCTATATTAATTTAACATACAAAAATAGCACAACAAATATATATATAGGGAGACCAATTCTAGAATTGTAGGAGTGAAGTTCTTAGCTGTGATCTCTGAAAAGTAGAAGTAGAAGTACTTTTTGTTGTTGCTAAGACTAAAGAACCCCACATGTTTGTGAAAATACATGACTAGTCTTGAGTTTAAAATATTTTCAGTGGGGGAACCTTCTAACATATTTTAAAATTTCAAACATTTTATCTTACTCCCCAAACATTTTAAAATTCTAGTGGGGCAACTTTTAACATATTCTAAAATATCACCTAACTCCCCAAATACTTTAAAAATTCCAGTAGGGGCAGCTGCCCCCACTTTAAATCCACCTCTGCATTGCACCGTGATGTCACGAGTTACTCTAGTAATATATAAATTACGGGACATGAAAAAAGAAAGATAGAGATAAAAAAAAAAAAAAAAGTTGATGGACGATGCTTTCAGGTTCTCTCTCCCTCTCTACACAAAGAGTCCAAAACAAACAGTCAAAAGACAAGAATTATATCGAATTCAACCTGATTGGTACTTCAATGCATGAATTTTTAAACTCGGTTACACAACTCTAGGTTGAAATTGAAGTTCTATGCAGACTAATCTTCCGCTGATATTGGGGTTCATATTTCTTGATTACATCTACTGTAACTTGTAACGAAAAAGAGGGGAAAAAAAAAGTTCTAAACTGTACAATTTTTTATGGTGATTTTTTAGGGTGGATTTGTTAACGTTTTCGTTTTTATGTTTTTTTATTAAAAAAAAACTAGTTTTTGTTTTTCTGTGATAAAAATTAAAAATATAACACATTAATATAAATTGTGAAAACAAAAATAAAAAAACATGTTTTGTATTATACCAATAATTCACCACCCAACCCCACTGACCACCCAAAACCACCACCCAACCTCAAATCTCACCACCCAACCCCACCACCGAGATCTGAACAGCATCATCCTAGATCTAAAAATAAATGAAAAATTTTGCGGAGAAAAGGGAGCTTACTGCTTCGCCGGAGATAGAGGTATTCGCCGGAAATAAAAGTGTTGGCCGGAGATGGAGATGTCGCTGCAGCTGGAGGAGGTTGTTCGCCGGAGTTGGAGACGTCTGTTGAGCTAGAGCTTGTTCGAAGAAATGAGTAGAATGCATTTTTCTTGGCATTTACATGGTACCTTAACTCATTGAAGAGTTTCAAGTGATCCATGTAACGACGCTGAAAGAGGGGATTGTTTCTGAGAGTGACAGGGAGAGTGAGAGTGAGAGTGAGTCATCCGTCCACTCATGATGAAACGATTAAAATTGGTAAATAGGCATATCTTATTCTTGGAATCCTCTTATTTGTTGACTGAAATCGATGGAAGGAGCGCGCAGGACTGACGAGAGACACTTTATAGGTAGGGCATCCCAGACCCCAAGGATTGGGCCTGACCCGAAGTGGAGTAATATTATTTTAATTTAAAATTTTCATCTTATTTATTAACCTCATTCAATATAATCTTTAGATTAATTATAAATTCTATTAAATATTAAAACTTATTTTTTATCAAATGATTTTAATTAAATTACATCATTAAATTAACAAATAAAGTCTATTTTTAAATTTAAATATCATTACCAGAATTACTAATTATTAAACTAGAATAAATATTATTTTATCAATTTAATCTAAATGCCACCCGGTGGTGCACTCTTAGTTTTTCAATTCGGATGGTACATCATCCCAATAAAAAGATCGAGTTAATGAGTAACATGATGCAATATATAGGGTGTTAGAGTATGTGTGGCTCATATTTTGCTATGTGCATAATGGCAACGAGGCAGATGCCGGAGCGGGCGGAGTGGAGCGAAGCGTAACATAGCGGAACGGAGCCCGCGACGGCATCTGCCTTGCGGGATTTATATATAGGGGACGCTGATAAGTTGGGGGTGCGGGGGCAACGCCCCCGCGGTACGGTACAGGGGTATTTTTGTAAATACGTCCATATTAGGGTTATATAAATACTTAAGATGTAACCCTACTTCAATAAGAAAAAGAACAGCCGCTCGCTCTCGTGGATGTAGGCACATTGCCGAACCACGTAAATCTTTGTGTGTTATTTTCTCCTGCTTTCTTAATTGTTTGATTCCTTACTATTCACCATAATTGCTGCACGATCACAACAATTGGTATCAGAGCAAGACTACGATGTCTGGGATTTCCTCTACAAAATTCGACATCATGAAGTTCGACGGAACTGGGAATTTCGGATTATGGCAGAGGAGGGTGAAGGACCAGTTAGTGCAGCAGGGCATGGTGAAGGCATTATACGGAAAACAACCGGCAGGAATGGACGACATGGATTGGAAAGAATTGGAAGCGAAGGCTGTGGCGACTATTAGGCTTTGTCTGGCTGATGAAGTGATGTATCACGTCATGGATGAGGAATCACCGGCGGAAGTTTGGTTGAAACTGGAAAGTCGGTATATGTCCAAGTCGTTGACGAACAAGCTCTATCTTAAGCAGAAACTATATGGTCTTAAGATGTCAGAGGGCTCGGATTTGACCCAACACATCAACGTGTTCAATCAGATCATCAGCGATCTGAAGCGAGTTGATGTGAAGTTCGAAGACGAAGACAAGGCGCTGATGTTGCTGAATTCCTTACCGGCGTCTCCTACGTACGAGAATTTGGTTACGACTCTGATGTGGGGGAAAGAAACCCTCGAATTGGAGGATGTCACAGGTGCTCTGTTAGGTTTTCATCAGCGGAAGAAAGCCAGTGATGAGGCTTCACAAGGTGAAGGGCTTGTGGTGAAAGGTAACCAGGAACGTGGAAGAAGCAAATCTCGGAATGGATCGGGTAACAATAAAGCCCGGTCCAAGTCGAGGAAGAAGAAGAAGGACGTCTCTGTCTCGTGTTACAAGTGCGGGAAAAAGGGGCACTTTAAACGGGACTGTCCAGAGAAAAAGAAAGGGGATTCAGAGAACAAAGAGGGTGCATCAAAGTCTGCAAACGTAGTGGAAGAAGAAGATTCAGAGAGTGGTGACGGAGATATGCTTTCTGTTTTATCTAGTTCAGATCGTTTAACAGATTCTTGGATTATGGATTCAGCATGTTCCTATCACATGACACCCAACAAAGATTGGTTTGACACCTACAGGTCAGTAAATTCTGGTTCTGTTCTGATGGGTAATGATGCATCTTGCAAAGTTGTTGGAATAGGAAATATTAGAATTAAAATGTTTGATGGTATGGTTAGAACGTTGTGTGATGTTAGACATGTACCGGATCTAAGGAAGAATTTGATTTCATTGGGCACTTTGGATTGTAATGGTTATAGTTACAAATCTATAAGTGGAGTAATGAAAGTAAGTAAAGGCATGCTGACAGTGATGAAGGGACAGAAAGTAGTAGGAAATATTTACAGACTGCTGGGTACTACAATTGTAGGTGGAGTTGCTGTTGTAGAGTCTGAATCAGATAATACAGTCTTGTGGCATATGCGGCTGGGTCATATGAGTGAGCGTGGGATGATAGAGCTTCATAAGAAAAATCTATTGAAGGGTGTCAAGACATGCAAGCTCAATTTTTGCAAATATTGTGTTCTTGGAAAACAGAATAGGGTGCAGTTCAAGACAGCCACACACAAGACAGAGGGGGTTCTCGACTATGTCCATACAGATGTTTGGGGACCAGTCAGCGTACTATCACGGGGAGGATACATGTATTTCGTGAGTTTCATTGATGATTACTCACGAAAGGTCTGGGTGTACTTCATGCGGCACAAGTCAGAAGCGTTTGCCAAGTTCAAGCTGTGGAAAGCTGAAGTAGAGAACCAGACAGGGAGGAAGATTAAATGCCTCAGGTCAGATAATGGTACTGAGTACACAGATTCAAAGTTCCAGGAGTTGTGTGAGCAACATGGGATCAAGAGACACTTCACAGTCCGCAAGACACCACAACAAAATGGTGTAGCGGAAAGGATGAACAGAACGATAGCCGAGAAAGCTCGGTGTCTCAGGTTGAATGCAGGGCTTGCAAAGAATTTCTGGGCAGAGGCAATGAATATGGCATGTTTCTTGATTAACAGATCACCGAGGGCAGCACTAGATGGGAAAGTATC